CTACACAATAATTAGCAAATCCGAACAGACGGCGCGCTGCAGCAATAATAAAGTTCAAAACCGAGCATTGGACAATGCAAGAAAACAAAAACGGACGGGTGAAGGAATAAATAAAGTGTAAAGTCCGAAAATATCGAAGGACAGGCGTCACTCGAATATGAGTCCAAGGGCCATCGTTAAGCTCTCGGCGGTGGTAGTTCAGCACAAATACGGCGGCTGCGACGATGAAAAAGCCTCAAGCATGTCGTCGCCTGGCTGTCACTTTCCGCGAATCACACAGCAATTACGACCCAGGCAGCACAAAACGTCGTGGAAACGTCGAGAAAAGGTCCCTGATGTCCGCGACATGCCGCGTGACTTCGCTCACGTTTTTTCGATGTTGAGGTGACGTCCTTATATCACGTTCCATTAGAGTCCAATCAGGGACGTTGTGACGACGTTGTATTTCAACTCAAACGTCGTCAACGTTCCCACGACGTCCATGCACGACGTTCGGGCAACGTCCAACGCTCACGTTTCTTTAACGTTGAAGTGAAGTTTATAAATGACGCTCCATTATCGTCCTGTCCGTTACGTGCTGGCGACGTCATGTTTCAACTTCTACGTCGTCATCGTCGCCACGACGTCAAGATAATACGTTTTAGCAGCGTCGAACACTCACGTTTCTTCGACGTGAAACTAAAGTCCATATGGTGACGTTACATTAATGTACCGTCAGTGACGTTTCAGCGACGTCGCGTTCACACTTAACTATCATAAACGTCATACAGGATGTACTGGCAACGTCGACCACTCACGTTTTGTTCAACGTTGAGGACATATTTAAACTGCGTTCCATTTATGTCCTGTCTTTGACACCCTGGTGATGTCATGCCACAACCTTTGGTTTGTGTTTTTTTTTAGCTTTTCCAGCTGAATCTACAGCCGCAGAATCACGTGTAATACGCGTTCACTGTTAAAAGCTAAATTACAGCTGTGGTCAAGGTGATACTGCTCAAGAGCCGCAAGCAAATCTTAATTTTTGAGAGCTTGAGAAATTTCTTTATTTATACATTAATTTATTTATTTCAATATACTATTAATTGCACATGGGATTACGCTAGGGGGGGAATATACAAAAATCAATGTGCACCGAAGGACAATAAATAATATGAAGGCATGTTGGGAATATCATTCCTTCTACATATGCTTGTCATACTTTTGGTTTATTTAAAATATTGTTATGGCTTTAATTTGCGAAGTCAAGCCAATGAAAGTCAAGCCTATGGCGTCTAGAACGAACCGAATTGTACCATTCTTGTTTCCGCGCGCGCGTTGTCGTCTTGCTGGCTTGCTTGCACAGGCACTTCGCCACTTTATCCCCTCTCCAGGTGATTTCAGAGATGCATCATTTCCTAGGAGCATCCATACTGCTCCGCGACCACCTGGCATTGTTTTAAGGTTCGGGAATTTCTCTTCGTGTTTTGTTACATCACAGTTGATCCACAACATCAACTTCCAGCACATCAGCACATTAGCGCTTTCGGTAGATCGGTGCGCAGTCTTGTTACGTGATTGTCAAAACAGATCTTGCATTCTTTGGCACTGATAACTTCCCCAACAAAAATCGCACGCCGGCACACACTATATCGGACCACAATTTCACTGCACACTTGCGCAGTTTTGAACACTACTCCAAAAAATAAAGTGCCCGGCAATGACGAAATCCGGTAGATACTGTCAACAGTTTGTGTAGATTCGCACTCATGATGCCAACCGTTGAATGGCCCAGATGACGGTCCAAAAAATATTCAAGTCCAACCCGCACCTACGTGTCGACAAAGGAAAAAAAAAGTTGGCGTCAACGCGGCGCGAGAGAGAGAGAGGAAAGGCAAGCAGGGGACATCCGAGTGGCATCTCCATAGAGCCCCATGCGATGCGTCGGGAAAATCGGCAAGAAGAGGGCGAGAGAGAAAGGTGTGGGAGATAGTGGCGAAAAACAGCCGACAGGCGTTAGTTCCGGGTGCACGTATTTTCTCAGTCGTTCCCAAAATATTTCAATGAATCCTACGTTGGCCCGGAGAAAACAAGCTTTTTCCGAAAGTCAGTCACTAGGGCCGGCCGTCACGTCTACGGGGTCTACGAGGCAGGCTGCTTGTCGCCGTGATTTTTTCCAGTGTGTGCTGGGATTCGATTTCTCTATAAGGCTGTCCAGACTGAGTCGCTCAAGTCGCCCCTATGAAGAAGTCGGAGATCGCCGAAAACGCCGTCGTGTTCAGTCACGGCTCGCGGACCTTTTTCAAGGCCATGAGGCTTCACACGTTGAATCGTATTACTGCTTGGATCGAGGTGCCTGTGAGGATATGAATGACGCCCCCAGAAAAGAAGGGGCAGTGCAGATAATGGAGCGTCAAGTCCCGTCTTCGATCAAGGCCCTTCAGACGCCTCCGATGATCCCAGTCAAGAACGCCCAGCGGACGGGATCCCACTTCTGAAACCATTCCCATGCACGCAGCGAGAGTACCAGCTAGCTACGTGCAATGGGGCGCGTCAGCGGATTAATCAGAAGCAGAACAAGGTAAGCGGTAAAACATTCGGCGCAGCGTGACATCGTCCCTTGTTCATTTCTATACGTGAATTTGTTTGTTTTATATACATCTGGCTGCCACATCCAGGGACGTCTTTTGGCGGCGATCCATAGTGCATCTCGTGTCTGAAAATGCTAAAATAAACAGTTCGTACCAAACCTGCGTTTTACTTATTTCCTTCGGTTGCATGAGAGCAACTTGCCTCCGCAATAATACTCAAAAAGTTTTTTTTTTTTTTTTGAGGGGGGGGGGGGGTGGACAGAACGTCTTCCCCACGACGCCTAGGGAACGCAATTTGGAATGGTTTCTTGACAATCTATAAACGTCGTTGGTATTCCGAATGTCGCAAACACAGGTATCATAAACGTCGAAGGAGGACGCAACGGCCCACTGACACGTGCATTTGACGTGTCACAAACGTCATGGGGAACGTTTTCACAACCTTCTGTGCACCTTTTCTCGCGGGCATTTAAAGGTTTCATTGACGTCGAAGGAAGGTAACGTCCGGACCTTCGACGTTGTACGACGTCACGTTACAGACGTCTTCGACGTTCTTTTGACGTTTTCTTCACGTTTATGTGCTGCCTGGGGAACGTCATGTCCACTTCCTGGCATGTTCGTCCTTTGCGTCCTCGGAAAGCGGACGGACTCCGTCTGTCCGCTCTCCGAAAACTGTCTTTCTCCCGCGTTCCATTCGCCGCCTCACCGGCGCCGAGGGAACTCCGTTCCCCGGCCTACCCAGAAGAAAAGAAAAATCTGGATTTGTCTCCCGTGCGAGGTCGCAAAACAGGGAGACCCGCGCAGAACGAAAACTGCCGGAGCAGCACCGGCGGGGAGAACAAATATACAAAGAAGAAAAACATTGCCCTGAGTTCAAACACTGACAAGAATGCGGCTGCGTTGGTGACTTCCATTACACATTTAGTCCCAATCATCCCAGGTACGAGAGCGCATCGCCCGAACGGTCTAGTGCTTGCACTGGCCCAGACAGTTTTGTCTGTCGCAAATAGCAAGTTGCCGGCGATCGCGGCCAACCATTCTGGATCTGCAAAGCAGTTTTTTGTGCGTACTTCTTGCAGGATTGCAACGTTGCTTTGAGCTAAAACACTCACGAGAATGCCGCTGCATTGTCGACCGCCATTACAAGCTCAGTCCCCGGCTCGTCTTGGCTTTAGCCGTTCCCCTCGCGTCGGCTTTCAGGGAAGTACGGTAAATGAGAGTGGCTGCCGGTAAAACTTTTAGCAAAGCGGGTCGTCTGCTAAGTGAGAGAGGCTGCCGATGAAACTTACAGCAAAATCTGGTAACTGAGAGTGGCTGCCAGAGAATCTTCCCAAAAAAGGTGGTAAACCATGCCGGTTTCCGATAAAAATGGGCGAATATTTATCTGTTTTCCCCGGATGTCACTGGAAGTTTGTGCTAGAATTTTCAATATGCGTGCTAATACTTTTTACTTGGAGATACATTTCTTGAACGTATATATTTATTTTATTCGTTACACAAATAATTGAGGGGAACAAGGAAACGTGTGTAATCTGTGTAATCATGAAGCTGATCAGCTGCGAATGAGTATTTTTGTACAGTCGAGTACATAATGTGATGGAGGAGTCACCAGGTTTATATCTCTCTCGTGCATGATTCACGACGTCTGTACATGATTTTTATGTACATGTAACAAAATTACGTGGTGCACGGTGCTTGTAAAACTGTTGCTCCTGAAAGAACACCCATTCGATGATGCTAAGGTTGTCTTCACCCTTTATTTAAGGTGTTTACCAACAATCTAAGGATGTTGCGTAACACTGCTAGGGTGCTAACCCTTTCGTAATTGTTTTGTCTGTAATTTTATACAACGGAGAATCAGTCGTCTCCAATGGGCGTCTAGTATCTCAGCTGTGGATGTGAAGTTTAGTCAGTTCCGTACGACCTCTAGACTTGGGTTTTTAACGTGCACCTGCACCATTTAGTAATTATACATGTTCACACGCCGGTACGATGCTCCTCCAGACGGATATGAAGCAGCAGTAGGGATTGTTAAGTCAGTTACGTTAAGTTAGAAGAAGCTAATTGTTTTGCAAAGTTACACGATTTCCCATGCAAAATAAAAGTCGTGTCTGCGTGTCGGCTTCGTTGTTAGTGTGAGATGCATGCACTTTTGGTTTCAAAGGAAGACGTAATTCCACAGCCAAATAATTATACATAATCTCCACTAGCAGTGCTGCTAAACTGAAGCGGTAAACATGGATGTGCAATTATAAACGTTGTTTTTATTTTATTTTTTTGCGAGCAGATAATATTTTTGTGCGCGCTATTCAGTTGCCTGATGGAATGCAGCGTAAACTCAAAACGCTTAGTGTTTTGTTTGTGTGTTTGGTTGTTTTGTTTGTATTGAACTGCAAACATACATATGCGCTCAAGGCAGCTTTTGGCACCCACCTTTAGGGAACGCTGTGTCCGGGTTTCTTGTTATCATACAGGAGTTCATGTCAGAAAACAATATCTCGAGTTTGTATCTTGCGGGAAACCATTGTTCTGTTGAAATGTATAAGAATTATTGTTGTAGACCATACCTCGGCCAGAGTAGAGTATTTTAGAAATGCATGGTTATTGTACACTTTTTGTGTAGCAAGAAATATTATAATAACTTCGCTGTAGAAATCGTTCCTGCATTGGAAGCATACCGACTGCCTGCGGGTTTTTATCTTGAAACACACCCATACGTTCGCGGCTAGTAATAAATCGGAATGCATTGTGGTTTAATATGTTATAGGTGGCACAGCTTTTAACACAGCGAGGTAAGGGGGAAGCCGGCACCTTGCCTACTGGCATATATTTATATGACATACACGGTATAACTACAACCCACTTCTTCCTAAAACGCATCAGCCCAATATCAGAAAAAAACGTGTTAACAAATTGCCTAGTAGAATTAACAGAAAGAGCAGCCTCCAACAAGGATACGCTTATTCTTGAAAAAATGCGTCAAAATTTCGTGCAGTACTTATATATGACAAAGTATGGTGAATGCAGCCTCTCAGCACATTTCCACGGGTGAACATCCCCGGAACCCCCCTTCTATCAAGGGCAAGCAGATAAGATCACCTAGTGTGTGCACTACGGATGTGCACGGCTTGTGCGTAAAACGACAGTTATTTCGCTGATCGTATTTATTCACCGCAAACGTGCGCTCAATCCTGTGGCGGATAGAACATGAACATAAACAGCATGTACAACGTGATGTAAGCTACATATTCCGCCATTTGAATGTTATTTACATGGCGGCTGAAGATCAAACTTATAGTGTTACCCCTTTGCACGACGTGGCTTCATTTGTGTCCTTTGGCAGCTTCAGTCCGAACCGAGACCGCGTGTTCTATAGCAGCCACTGGTTGTGTCCGCCGCTACCGTTAACGCTGAAGTCCCCCATCACAACGAACGGCATCGCGTGGTGTCATACGTGAGTTGGGCTGACACTGATGCGTTGGATTGTAGAAAGGAACCGCGGCCCATGAGCGTCCACATCTCTACAAAGCCTGCGGCAGGAGCTTCCGATGGTGTCTAAAGCGCACCCGCGCACCCCGCCCGCTATCGGCGCTGGCGGTGTTTCCGAGCCAGTTTACACACCCAGTGCGGCTGCGGTGCTATCCCCTGGCGACTATCTGAACTTTTTGCTAGTCCAAACTAGAGGCACTAAATGAGCTGCGCTGAGAGTATTGACACCCTGTTCCCCAACGTGATTGTGGGCGCCGCCATCTTGGTGCGTTGTGCAGTGCAGACACAACTCTCTGTCGGTCAAATTCAGAAATATGACTTCCTCAGCTTTAAATGCGATGTTAAGAAGCTCAGGTGTCATTGTGTTGCTGGGTAGCGCACTGTTTTCACATTTAAGGAGAACAGGAAAGTGTTTGTTTATTTAAGACGAAATTTCAGATAACTGGCAACCATAATTTTAAGCAAGAAGAAGGCTGAAGTGTAGTTACTTTGAAGCGTAGCTTGTTTAGTGCCTCTAATCCAAGCCAGACCAAGGCCAGTTTATGTACCAAGGCACTAGTGCTAACGCATTAATAACGATTGAACTACAAAATGAAAAATTGCTCCAAAATATCAAATAGTTATTCTAACTCGGAGTCGTAGTAACTATAGAACTTTCAATCGTCTACAAATTCAGTGAAAAAGCCGAGCAAAGTCAATTCATCTGAAGAATTCATCTTGCAAAAAATATTCCACAAATTATATTTGTTATGTGACTGATTCCTGGTCATAGAAAACATGCTTTCAGCCAAAAGACCTTAGCTTACCTGGACGATTGGCCATATGAATTGTGTAGTTAATAACTTCTCTTACATAGCGAGGTTGGCTAAATCTGCAAAGAAAACACGTCAAAACACCGATTTTATTGTGATATGCCAACAATATGTTTTTTATGTTATGAGTTATAAAAACATTTAGTACTCACTCCCGACCATCCCTGTACAGAAAAATTAAATCAGATTTTTGGTAAGTTTTATTATCTCTTTTATGAGTCTCATTGTAGAAACGTCGATAACCACAAAGTAAGTTAGTGTAATTTCCAAGTGACTGAAGCATGTACGTTAGGGGTAGTTTCCACATAACCTGCGAATATATTTAAATATTTTAACAAAATGGGAAATCACCTCAATTTCTGCACCTGAAGGAATATAAGAATGATGTAGCACTTTTATAAAATGAGTTTCCAAAATTAAAACAATAAAATAAAAGGGCACCATAGCATTAGTCTTTTTTTGTTCATGTGTCTTACTTTAAATGTTGCCCTCTTAGCGTATACTACGAGTAAGCTTAGAAGTAATGTATAAAGTTTTATATTGGATAAGAAAAAACCTTCGTTTTTGGGTATGTGTAAGAAACGGGTGAAACCTCGTCAAATAAAATATGCCGAAACTCACGAAGCAAAACACAGGGAAATATATAGAGTTTTACCAGCCATTAGAACAAAATAACCGTAATAAATATCTCCCTAATGACATTGTGTACCTTCAGGGAATCGCTATTGCATTGGCAAGAAAAAATATTGTAAATTGGGCGAGCACAACTCATATCACATACAAGCCACCGAAGGAAGCTCATGACAACACCACGAAAAAACACTTCACTTCATTCGCTCTTTTTTTTTTTTTTCTTGATTGTGCACTCGGCGTTCTGATTCTTGCTGCACTCTTGTGCTTTGACGGAGAGGGATTGGAACTAAAGTCCCTTGAAAAAGGCGTTTTTTATAAGTACCGCCATTCGTTGTGGAAATGCTCAAGACACGTGCCACGAGCGGGTGCTCCGCCGCCATTCTATTTAAAGGGCCACTTGTTTCAGTGCACTTACGACATTTGCTTCCAAAAGCCGCTCGAGGCACGGGCCTCTTTCACGGGCGCATTTGATGTTGATTGCAAGACGACCGCAAACACATCGACGGGTTTCGACCGGAGCAGCTAATGCTGGGATGTTTCTGCCTGGTTTGTTGATGGTTTAAAAAACAACAAAGGCAGCTTGTGACAGGACTGTACTGAAACAGCGATTTGTGAGGCCATTGCCTCTTGTTGTCTTCCTCTTTGTATGACCCTTTTTGGTCTGTAAGGCAGCAAGTTGGGGTCTGGTGCCGGCGAAGAGACGTCACTCCCTGCAAAGCTCTGGTATGGTTCGGCAGGCGTTTGTACCGAGGTACGTATTGTAACTTCATCACAGAGGGAAACCATGGAGATATACGACGGCCCTGATTCACCTAACACCCCCCCCCCCCCCCCGCTCCCATTTGCAAGCTGGAGACGACCTTGACTCTGTCGCGATCGTTACTGTAGATAAGACGGCCTGGTGACAGTAAACCAAACAGCGTTGATGGCGAAGTACCATGGGGACGACAGACAGAGGACTGTGGTGGCGAAACGACGGCTGGCGGATATTGCCGGTAAACAACAATTTTGACGGCGGAAACAACCCAACACTGCTGCGAATGCTAAAACCGTGCGGCCAGGTAAAAAAGAAAGTTTTGATAGATCGTTTTCAAAAACCCGTTTGGCTGCAGGCGCGCGCTGCAGCGCATTATTGAAGTGGTAGTGCAAGCACCCGCTACAAAATAGTGTGACCTGAAAACACGATCTACTAAAACACTCAAATTGAGCATATAATGGCACACCTACTGCCGTAAGCAAGCAAATCTCGGAGTGCGGCATTTTCTCCGAGGTGGCGCCCGTGCACGCGTGGAACATTGGCGGCTGATACCCCAACCCTCCAGCCCCCCCTCCCCCCCTTACCCCCTCACTCTCTCTACCACGTAAACCGGAGGAACATGTGCCAAAGCGGCGGAGTGTGCCTAGTTGCCGGCGGGCGCCCACGTTGGACACGCTTGATGAAAGGCCAATCAGGCGCCCCGGATTCGTTGATGGCTTTCCTCCGTCAGGGAGCGACGATGCGCGACCGGTGTACCGGAAGACGGACCCCTGTTTGCTTTAAAAATGTAAAAGTATCCTCTAAGAGCTGGCTGCCGTGCACGAAAAGCTTCTGAGTGCTCACGCTTACGACCTACGTTACAGCACCCACACTCCTCAAGACAACGCCAACCTCCACGCAGGGTACCTCTTTAAGTTTCCCTTGATTCGAAGGCTATGTCGCCCTCTTGTAACTCCCGGAAGTGAGAAGCGGACTGCAATATGCTCTGACACTTTGGGCCGGTTGCACCAACACCACTTAGCGCAATTCTGAGCTTAGCCCGGAACCTATGCTCACTTTCGGTTTCGTTCTGTTGCACCAAAATCGCTTATTCCTAAGCTTAGCACTAATCCACGCCTATCGTGAGCACTCCGCATTGGGCGCTTTAATAAAGGACTTAATTTAATTTTATTTATTTATTTATTTTTGCGAAGATCTAGGCGGTAGGTGGAAGCGGTTTGCAAAGTTTTTAGGCTTGAACAGGTTGAGAGCATCGACAGATTAACCTTCAATTGTGACAAGGATACCACATTTTGTCCTGTGAAGTGTTTATCCACCCTTGTTTTCTAGTTGACTATCCAGTCTGACTGCATGTTAGCGCCAACCAGCGTAGGTACAGCGCTCTGGGGTTCACGTTTTTGTCTTCCCGTTGTTTTTTTTTTTTTTTTGTCAACTTGCTTGTTTGTACGCACTTATTTGCGCACATCTGTAACGTATTGCTACTTGCAAGCTTATTTATTTTCAGTTTCAGCGCATATCCTTTGTTTCCCAATAGGTGGGTTAAATAGCGGTAGTGCATGATTCTGTGCGATCAGCTGAGTGTCGACACTTCTTGCGTTCTCATTATATATATTACGGTGAGCGAGTCATTTAGATAATGAAGCAACCAAAAACGCCATTTCTTTCGTTTTTCAAGCTTTTGGACAATCTTTAGTAAAGTTTCCTTGTCTCGCGAGTAAACTTTTAGCCTGAAAACTGTGTTGATCTAAAATCACGATTTATCTGGTGACCGCACTTTATAGAGGCGACAAGAAATCATAACGACTACGATGCCAGATATGTTCAGCACTGTATTGGGGGCAGGCTGCGGCGGGGGCCACGAAGAGGCGACCGTTGTCGCCGACGCGATGTTGTGAACTAGTACGAAGTGTCGTAGTTTAAAGATTTCCGTTGTCATTTGTTCAAGTAGGTAGACACAAAGTGTACTGTGCCACAGCTCATATGTCATGCCCCTCTAGGTACACATGTTACCACATATTGTACAGTATCACAGAAGCTAATAATCGTTAGGTGATTATATCTGTACTTCGCTACATTTTTTATCATCATCAAAACTGAATATATACTTTTGTTTTTGGGGTGTATTTTTGTTGGCATGCAGCATAGAGTTATTACCATAAACGCTAGAGGCTCAGCTGGCGCTAGTGTGCTGTTGCATTTTGAAGGAGACAGAGAGCAGTCAGAAATTGACTTCCGGTAATGCATTGCTATGGGAAAAAGCGAGTGCATTTTCTCTCTACGCTCGATTATAAGAGCAAATATCACGAATAATTTGTACGTACTAGACACATTGGAACATTTCTCAGTCACGCAGACGAAATAATTGGTCAGTTACCGCATTTTTATTTGAAATTCGCGGCACAAAAAACGGTGTTAAGACCGCTTTGTACGTGTATTTATGTGCACTGTCGGACACTGTTAGCGCGAACACGGCGTCGACGCTGTCGACGCTTTTCAGCATTGGGGATATACGTGCCAAACGCACGAAGGACATGTGGAAAACCAAGAGATACGGCAAGAACTACGCAGTAACACTGGATAAGTAACTCCTTGTGCTTACAGACAATCAAAATCAATATAAAGTCACGTAGTATAGTCTGATTTGCGATAAAAAAAAGTACTGCTTTCTTCTTTCTGCTCATGAATATGTGCGAAGATGATATGTTCTGCGTACAAATCATCACCCGCACGCTCCAAATCTTTGCTAATAGGGGGAAGCCAGAGAACAGGTGCGCGATAAAAACTGCCCAACATAGGAAATAACAAGAAAACACACCTTTCGGAGCCTACGTACTTTATTCTTTACCTTTCGAACGTTTTTTTTAACCACTCGTAAAGATGCACGACGGGGTCATTTTCATATAGTGAGAGGACAGGCATATTAGCAAGATATATAAGCACCAACGGAATGCTGGCGAACTTTGAACACACTCTACATTCCTTTCGATCGTTTTTTTGCCTAGAATCGTCGCTCGTTTCTACATACCTGCCATGGAACAGAGGTTTGGGACTGAAATATAGCGAAGTTTAGCATCGTTCGTTCGTAAAGGAAAAACGCTGTAACTAAAGCAATTACACTTTCCCAATATTAATGAAGGTACATACTATCCGGTACAACCGAAATAACAAAAGTTATTCATGTTATTTTCCGGCGACGAGACAAAATTCAAGCACGTTTTCTATAGGAATACACAGGAAGACTGGAAAAGTAGACTGCATGCTGTCTACTTCAATTTGCAACCGGAAGTCCCGTAGACACTAGCGCCAGCTGAGCCTCTAGCGTTTATTGTTCTAACTCTATGGCATGCAGATATGTTGCGTCAGTTGTGGGGTGAAGTGGCATTAGGAAAACACCTAATATTTTGGTTTTATATCTGCGCTTTACCTATTAATAGAAATATGTATGAGTAAATTATTCTTGGCAAACAATAGGCCCTAGCTCTGTGTGTGTTCATCGAATTTCTAAAAAAAATATTTGAGGTACTAACAAAAACATGAAATGCTTATGAAGGCTGATTGCGGAATGTGAATTATTTATTTTAGAAAATAATATAGGTCTTAAATAACCTAAGCTTAATGTGATGATCATAGTGCTGGTTTTCAAGACTGAGATTTGAGACAGGACAGGTGAAATAATAGAAACAAAAAGTATATACAATGTCTAGGTCAAAGACACAGCTTGTATTGGTTCCCTTAAAGAGAGAACTAACAGACGCTGAGAAAGAGAAAACCTCTACACCTAGGCATTGAAATCAGAATAACATAGTAAAACTAGAAGAAAGAAAAGCACGTCTCCCATAAAATGGCGGAACTTTACCAACATGCGACAACTTTAAGTAACAATACTGACTATTTATAATAAGTGACAAAACACAACCTAA